AGTGAGGCCTACCGAGGCAGTGATACTCACCCCTAACCTGACAGGGAGGAAGGCAGCCAGGTGAGCTCCGACTCTCCATACAAGATTAGTTGGGGAACTACTGTGACCACGAAGCAAGGCTCGGGGTCAGAGGAGTTCATGCAGTTGCTTAAGGTGACGTTGCACCAAAAGAAGGTACCTGGGCTGGCCTTGGTGAAACTGGCTGCGGTGTGGTATGACAGTCTCTCCCGTGGCAACCCCATAGGTGTTGACATCGTGATTACATCTGTCTGGGTTCCGCTGCCGGGTGACTTGTTTGCCGTTCTGGTAGTAGGTTTCACGGACCTTGATCCTCCACACATAAGCGGGTGGGGGTGGGTGTAGGTTGCTCAGGGCTGGGAGGAGAAAAAGGAGGGTAGGGCAGTTAAGGCGGACCTTTGTGGGGCCCAACACCTCACATTTATAGAAGTCATGCTGCTCCGGGGTCCTCTTGAGTCTGGAGAGGCGGTGCCAGGACAGGCCATCAAGCTGGGGTCGCCAAGCAGCTTGGCCGCAGTGGGGGCTGTGAAGATTACAGTGTGAAGTCCTGTCCACTTAGGCTCCAAGGCTTGTGATTGTAGGTTCTTAAGGAGGACCGAGTCACCAGGGTGAAGGGCTGGACTTGGGAGTCCTGGTCGGTCGGCTCTGGCTTGAGCAGAAACCTGTTCTCGTGTTCTCAGAGCAATTGCCTGGTTAAAGAAAGATATGGGAGATACATACCCAGGGGAGGGGGATCGGTAAGGAGACAGTGGTTGAACAAGAAGAGTCAAAAGGGCTCAAGAAAATGGGGCTCCTTGATGTAGCCGGAGTTTGTCAGGGCCATGGGCAGGAGGTCCGGCCAGGAGCTGTGAATTTCTAGAGAGAGTTTAGTTAGATGGTTCAAATGGTTGGAATTGAGTGGCTATGATGAGGGTTCAAGCCAGTGACAGAAATCCAGCAGGATGTAGAGGAGGAGGGACTGATGTCAGAGAGTAGATGGAAAGTTGTGTTGATGAGAGTGGGCATAGGAGTAGGTCCACAGTTTGTAAATAGAGAGCGACACTAGAGGATTTCCCATCCAGACAGTAGAATTGATGACTCCCTCATCATTCCATGTACGTTTCACCTGAAAATATGAAAAACCTGAGCAAAATTGGAGGGTCCCTTGCCAGGTAAGAGCCTGTGAGGAATGATGGGTCATCCGGTCCTGGATGGTGTCGCTGAATCTTCTTCAGGGATGGTGGGAGGCACTCGGTGAGCCTGAGAGAGGTAGGTATTGCAGTGAAAGTGGGAGAAAATGTTAGAGTGCGCTGATATCCAAGGGAAAATGGAAGGAGCAGTGGAAGCCAGGGACCTGGAGGCTGGAGAAAAGGCAGAGAGGGGGAGGGAGCAGGTCGCGCAGCCTGTTCCCAGGCCTCTAGCCGCTTGGATTTTAAAACTGCCGCATTTTTTCCTTTGGGAAGGGTGGAGGGGGATGGGGCGAGGTCAGAGCAGTTTTCAGTTCAGAGGAGGGGACAGTCGTGGCAGAGAGAAGGAGAAAAGGCATTCACAGTGAAGACTGAGGTAGGCGACGACTGAGCTAGGCAAAGACTGAGCTAGGCTACTGTGGTCTGGGACAATAGGGCCCCATGACGGGACGCATGGCAGTGGAGGATCGGTGTCCCTGTAAAGGGAGGGGGCCAGGAGTGGAAGGAGCAGGGAAGCTGAAGGGCTCAGAGTGAGCTGCAGAATGGCCACTAGGATGGTGAGGATGTCTCGTCCTAACAGGGGCATGGGGCATGCTATCATCAAGGAGGCAGGGAAGGGGTCCAGTGGCCGGAGGGCAGGTGGATTTGCCGTCAATACCCATGTCCGAGATCTTGGAAGGATAAAGGGGCCCTAAAAAGGAGGGCAGGACAGAGAAGGCAGCCCCCGTGTCAACCGGGAAGGTGACCTACTACCTTCATTGTGACCCAAGGCTCAGCGAGGGTGATTGATGTCATCGAGGCTGGGCTTCTTCAGTCTTCAGCCAGTCCCAGCATGGCCAGTGGCGGTGCGTCATGGCCTGGAAGGGTGGTCCCCCCACACTGAGGCGTAGAGGGCCCGCCACTTTTCCAGGGGCAGTCACTCTTCCAGTGACCATTTTGACCGCACTCCTGGCAGGGCTTGGTCGGAGCCCGGGGCTGGGGGCACTGCTTTGCCCAGTGGCCTTCATTGCCGCATTTGAAGCATTCTCCAGGCGGTGTCCGTCCTTTTGTTGCACCCCCGCCGCTCACAGCCCCATTGGGGCCATGGCGGCTGCCGTCAACCACAGGGCCACAACTAAGGCATGACTGCAGGTCCACCTCCTGTGGAAGGCAGGCCTCCCATTCTGACTGTGCCTGCTCCTCCAGGGCATTAAGAACCTTCAAGGCCATTTTTCACTCGATCTCGGACCTGGGTTTGAGGACCAATAAAGACCTTAAAGCTCGGGTTAGAGAGTGGGGGGCATATATTCAGACTATGCCCTCAGTTCCTGGATGGGACTATGGCAGGGGTAGAATGGGCGCAGAAATGGGAGAGGCTGTTTTGGAGCTGAGTTCTTAGGATTTGGGCTCTAGGGGAGAAGGAAGCTTCTCATTAAGAGGGTCTGAAGAGAGCACAGCTGCAACCTCTCACAAAGCGAACTGGGGGGCCACCTGTGAATTAAAGTGCTGGCAGTCATGGGGGCGGAGTTTCGGCGGAGCGCACAGAGGAAGGCGGGCGGTTAGACCTTACAGAGGGCACTGCGTGGGGTACAGGTTACTAAGGCAGGCCTGTAAGGGAAGGGGAGAGCGCGGGAGAGGTGACCTGGGTGGGCTTGGGAGAGGTATTGGCAGTTGAGTTTAAAAGCCGCAACCTCCCAGGGGCAGAATGGAGGAGGAAGGACAGAAGGAAGGTAGAGCCTACGGACGCGTGTGTGCCGACTGGGAAAGCAGGCAGGGGCGGGGGTGGCAGGGGACTTGAGTTGCCGGCTCCCGCAGTGGCTACGGCTTTAGTGGCTGCGGCGGTGTGCAGACGGACCGACTGCGCGGCGGCGGAGGGGTGCAGGGACGTGGGGTTGTAAAAGGTGGTTTGAGTTTCGGCCGCAGTGGGGCGGGGGGAAGAAGGGAGGTGGGATCAGGAGGCGGTGGAGAAGGCGTGGCTGGAGGAGAGTCCAGCAGGACAGGGGCTTATGCTGGCGGGAGAGCGGGTGGTTTTCGCTAGGGGAATTCGGGGGAGTTCTCCAGTGGAGGGGGTGGGGGGGTGCGGAGACGATGGTGGTGCCGTCACCGCGTCCCACACACAGCACATGAACCCAACCCCACACGCACCGCACACACCTCAGGCTCGGCGGTGCAGGGACAGCCCGGAGGGAGGAGGAAGGGCGGAGCGAGGAGAGATGGCCGAAGGAACTTTGGGGGAGGGACGGGAACGCAGAGAGATGGAGAGAGACTGAGAGAGAGAGACTTGGGCAAATTTCCCAGTTCGCTGGCAGAAATTACTGAGGTCGGTGTGACTGTAAAGTCAGGGTCCCGTTTTCATACTGGGGCCATGACAGAAAAAGGACGCAGGTCCGGGACAGGCCCCCTGTTTAGCCAGATCGGTGAGCCGGCACCCTAGAGGTGTGCTCAGGTCAGGTTTGGAATTTGGATTTCCTGTGCTCGATACCCGTGGCCTGTAGCGGGGCTAAAGGCTGGCGTCCCAGCGGTTTAACCCACGCTACAGATGGACGGAGGGACCGTGGGCGTGGTAGAGGCGTCCCTGCTACCCCCCCAGGTCCGGAGGAGCCTTCCTGGAAGGGTCCGGAGAGGCAATCTCTGACGTGGCCACGCTTTATGGACAGAGATGCCGGCGGGCAGGCGGCCACATGGGACCGGCACGGGGGCGGGGCGGGACTCACCGCTGATGCTGCCTAACTGGGAAAAGTTGCCGAGCTGAAGAAATGAGGGCCTTATGGGTCCAGAGCCACGAGGAGGGAGAGGCAGGCATCCAGAGCCATGGAGGGACGGCCAAATGGAGTGCTCGCGCCACCCGGGTTTCAAGGCACCAAATGTTAGGTTAGGTGGCTCAGGAGAGGGCGCAAGAAATAGTGTCCAGTGAATCAGAAAAGAAAGGAAAGGAAAAGATTTATTTCTGCGTCCCCGGGAGACCCACGTACCCCCAGGACAGGGCACGTGGATTCACACCAACAGGGAGGGGGGCGCTTTTTTTATACTGCAGTTGGGTGAGGGGCGAGGACATGAGCTGAGGTATTCAGTTGAGGAAGTTTCAGCTGCAGGGGTCAGCCAGGTATTCAGGAATGAGTCAGTATCTGTGTGGGGGTCGTGGAGAAGCTAGTATCTGTGTCTGGCCAGCTGATCTGTGAGAAATTCCAGGGGAAGTCCATTATCTCATCACATGTATCCGATCCTAGGCTCTCTCCGACCTAACAGTTTCCCTCTTCTTACTGGAATTTAGGCTTGGAAACGTCTGTGTAGTTAGAAAGATTATAAACTAGGCCGTTGCATTTGTTGAATTTTATTTACTGACCTCTTCATTCCTTTACAACATTGGTATTCAGTGCCGAACAGAATCACAGTCTATTGTGCATACAGTTGTACACATTGCCTTTTAACGGGACATCGATCTGTGCCTCACCTTCTTTGCCTTCATGTGATCATGAAAACTGTGTGAGTTCCACTTGACATTCACCCTAGGATTTTGGAAACTTTGTGCAATTTTTAGTACCTCATTTGTTAGACAAGTTGACTTAAAGAAACATCAACCTTGAGCAGAAATGCAAGGTTTTCATTAAGATATATTTTTAATGCTGCTATAAATACCCTTATGCTCTCCTTTTTATCAAAAACACATTGATTTTTCAGTAAAATCAAAAGGAATTTTAAAAAGGAGGAAAAGATAAAACAGGGCATGTTAAATATTAACAACCAAAGTTTTTTATCTGCCAAAATTTTTACATGTATTAAATTTATTAAGTGTTGTGAATTATGACATATATGTTAGGCATGTTTATCTTTAAACAGTTTGAAGAATGGAAATTCCTCCTTTCTGGAGTAGGACTATTTCCCCAGCCTCTAGAAATAGAAAGAATCACCACCTACCTTCATCACATAGCATCTCTGGCTATAATTTTCAAAAATCCCACAGATGAACATGTTTTAATCGATGTCATACTAACAAGTAAGTTGTTTTTCTTATATTTTACCTATGTTATTTTGTAATTATTAATCAAATGTATTTGATCATAGAATCAATGTATTATAGAGATAGTGGACATGATAGAGATCCACTAAGAAAAATCATAAGGTATGAAAGATGAGGTATCTTGAAATCATAGAATGTAAATGGTGGAACCAGAATCAAAAATTAAAAATCTGTGTAACAAGTCAAATTCTTCTCCTTTGACCTGTAAAGCCAAAAATGCAAATTAATAGATTAGTAAGATTCTTATGATTATTCAAATATGCCAATGCTTAGTCCTTAAAAGTTTATAGAACTTCAAGTGTTCTGATATTGTTTCCTTTCCCCATTTTCTTTATAAATAGCGTATTTGGATTAAATTTTGGTTATAATCAAGCTTGTTCTCTTTTTCCTGTCAGATTGACGATGCATGTTTTTAAATTAGATTGTTTGGAGTTTTTTATCACTTTTTATTAAATGATCAAATAATGTGGGTCTGAAGTAAAAATCAACTCATTAGTTTTGCCAAACACATTTTAAATCTATTGCATATTACTAATTTTATCTTTTCAACTATTATTATTACTTCTACTAAAACTGCTACTGCTGTGATCCAATTTATATAGTTCAAATGTTGAGCTAAAAGGAATACATATGTTAAGTTCTTTGATATAAATAATCAACTTACTCTCCAGAGTAATTATATTGCAATTCACGCTGCCATCAGGAGTATATTACCGACTCTATCTATTTTCCTGAGCCTTATAAGCACTGACTAATACCATTCTCCTTAATCTCCCTCAATCTGATTGGAGAAAAATAGTATTTTATCATCATTGAAAATTAGTTATTTTTTGTTTAATACTGAAACTGAACACTCATTTACCTATTAGAGTTTTCATCTTTCCTCGTCATCTCTTTTTGCTCTTGGTATAAAATAATTTAAAAAAAAATAATGTCATCTGATGTGAAATTCCCTTATGAATACATTGGCTGTGGTAAGGAGAGAGATGCCAATGTTTACTAGCAGTTTCTTGCTGGCCCAAGGAAGTCAGCATTTTATTTTATTCTTTTTTAATTCTTTATTAGTTAAGGTATTACAAATGGAAGTCAGAATTTTAGTGTGGAAGAGACTTGAGCATGTGTATCAGCAGAGCAAAGAAGCCAGGACTGAGCAGGAGTGAAAGCTGTAAAGGAGGTAGGGTTTAATTGATCAGCTAAGGCTCTGGCAGGGCTGAGATCAGAGTTGAGACAGAAAAAAAGGGCCATGAACTGAAGGGGCAAGATAAAACAAATGTGAATATAGACAAATTGATTGGTAGTGGAAGGGCTTGGCAATTAAAAGCAGTTTTGTTTAGATTTTCATCTCCTGAAAAAAGGAGATGTAATAGGAGATTTGAAGAGTGTCACAATGGTTTGAAATAACTGCTAGAGCGAAAGGAAGATGCAGATAACAAAATTCAAATATAACTGTATTGCATTTGGCTGAGATTGCAAACCACACATTTAGATAGGCCCCCAAAAAATATGTGTTTGTGGAGTTTCCACCAGTTATAGGACTCAGAATTACTGGTGTGAAAGCACACCAGGGTGACAGATGGATTAAACCAGGAAATGAAATTTTCAGAGAGGTGCAGCCAAGTCATAACTCTAAGAGCATTAGTAAAACATATTGGATCAAGATTTTTAACATTAAAAATAAATGGGGAAATAATTTGTGGCTTCTTAATTTTCTTTAGTTGCTCCAAACTTCTTTCTGCTATTAACAGGAAAAACAGTAAGCTTGACAATTAAGATGTACTCTTCTTTTGCAGTTTAAAAGTCTCTTTTATGTTAACTCACTCTCTTGGGTAAATGCTCAGGCTCTCAGGTTCTTCCTCTTCTTCCTTCAACCTGAAGAGACTGGGCACAAAGAAAGACACTGACCTACTCTTTCTCTCTTCCACTTTCTCTCTTTCCTTTATGAAAAGCTTTATCTTTTCCTTTTTTGGTGATGGAGTCTCTCTCTGTGTTATAACCTCCTCTTTTTTACTTTTGTTTGCTTTTTTTTTTTTTTTTTTTAGCTACCATGTACATGTCTTCTTGTACTCATATTCCTTGGCAACTAGGCCTCATAATTTGGCCTGAATTGTTGAAGGGCCACAGGGAAACATGAAAATATTTAACATATATGCCAAATATACTCATTAAAAAGATACTAAATTAATACCTTCTCCTTTAAATATTTGTAAATGCCTCAAAATTATTTCTTGATAGGACTAAGCAATCCCTTGCTACCTTTCAATAGATGTGAATGTTTCTGCAGATACTACAGAATTCACAGAATCCCCTTAGGAAAGTTAATAGCAAGACTCATAAGATAGCACCAAGGGGGTGCAAGAAATCTCACAGTATTTTGGGTCCTGCATTACTCATTTCTCTTTAGATAGATGAATAGATAGATAGATAGATAGATAGATAGATAGATAGATAGATAGATGATAGATATTTTTCCAAGAAGCCATCATTTTTAGAGTTGCAAACTTATGATCAAACTTTCATATTGCCCTATTCTCTAACATCTTTTCTTCTGATGTCTTGGCTATTTCCACTTTAATCACTTTTCTAAGAAGTATTGCCTTGGTTTTCAAATAATCTTTTAATTCTATTTAATTAAACTCTATTCAATTCTTTAATTCTACTGTGTGTTGTCTTTGCATAAAGATCATTCAGGTGAATAGTATGCAAAGCAAGGTGTTGAAAACATTATATTTCAGGGGTCTATTCATATCTTAATCCAGGCCAACTTGCAAAGGTGAATGAGATAGGGTGGCTGGAGAGGAGATGGGCTCACACTTGGAGAATAACAGTGATATCCCAGCACAAAGCATTAATGAGTCCTGAGAAGAGCCAATTGCTGCAGAAAAGCTCTCAAATTACTTAGGAAATTTTGCACCCAATATGTACCACACTTGAGCTCTGTAAACATGACTGTACTCAATCTTTTAAAAAAATCTTGGAGGCTTTCCAGATGTGGAACCTGAAGCTTAGAAATTTCCCAAAGCCATATAGGGTGGGGCAAAAGTAGGTTTACAGTTGTGAGTATATAAAACAGTTTATTCTTATATTACTATTTATTAATTACTGTGTTATTTTCCACACAAACAACTGTAAACCTACTTTTGCTCTACCCTGTATAATGAGTAAGTGATGGAATAGGGTCTTGAAATCATCATGTCAGGCTGTCTTCTCCAGGACCATCTAACTGTCATTCTAAATTGTCTGCCTGATCCACATATACTTAGATTTCCCTTCTTGGCCTCTTTGTTCAGCCTGGACATGCACCCTTGCTTGCTGACTGGTATCTCTGAAATCATTTTCACAATCCTCTCTCATCAGTAATTATGGCCTGCACCCCAGCCCTCTGCTCTGAAGTTTTCACCCTGCTTAATAAAGGTGGAAAAGGGGAAGGTAGTTATGAATGAGAAGCAAAGATCTGAGTTAAAACATCAGAAATTAGGGCCTGGTGTATGCGTTAAGAATTTAAGACACATCTCCATTATATGTATGTGTGTGCTTTTGCTTATATAACCATATTCCAAACCTGCTAAATTGTGTGCTTGTCAATGGCAGGGGTTATATTAACTCATTAGAGGCCTGGTACACAAAATTTGTGCAGTCGGGGGTGAGGGGTCCCCTCAGCCCAGATTACGAGAGGGCGCAGGCCAGACCTAGGGACCCCACTGGTGCACAGTCGGGATTGAGGAGGGATGTGGGAGGTTGGCCAGCCAGGGAGGGAACATAGGAGGGCTCCAGGGCGTGTACGGCACATCTCGCTCAGTCCCAATTAGCCGGACCCCAGCAGCAAGCTAACCTACTAGTTGGAGCATCTGCCTCTGGTGGTCCGTGCACATCATAGTGAGTGGTTGAGCGGCCTTAGCATGTCATTAGCATATTACTCTTTGATTGGTTGAAAGGACGACTGGACACTTAGCATATTAGGCGTTGATTATATTGGATAGCTTTATTCCTACCTAAATGTTAGAATATATGTTGATAAAGCAGGAGTTGAATATTCAGTCACTATTTAATGAACATCTATTTTTTTAATATATTTTATTGATTTTTTTACAGAGAGGAAGGGAGAGAGATAGAGAGTTAGAAACATCGATGAGAGAGAAACATCGATCAGCTGCCTCCTGCACATCTCCCACTGGGGATATGCCCGCAACCAAGGTACATGCCCTTGACCGGAATCGAACCCGGGACCCTTAAGTCCACAGGCCGACGCTCTATCCACTGAGCCAAACCGGTTTCGGCTGAACATCTATTTTGTGCTGAAAACTGTCATATGCACATTTCAAAACTACCTGTATTTGTAATGTACATACACATATACATTGTATTTTGATTTTTGTGTGGTATTCTACATGTGAAATACCACTATGGATTATATACATACCTAAAAGTTGCATAAATTAGTTGATACATGCAAAGTTTTGATTACTCTTCTACTAAAATATCTGTAGTATTGAGATTATTCAATCTTTTTACTTAATCCAAATTTAAATATGATAGTGATTTTATTCAAATGTTTAAATATAAGTGGGTTCTTTACCAGACATCAGTAGTTTTTTAATTAAAGTTATCAGGTTAATTGGTTAATAAGATTGTATGGGTTTCAAATGTATAATTCTGTGATACATGAGCTTTATATTTCATTGTATAGTTTTATTGAAGAACAAAATAAAATAAAAGTAAGGATAAAGGTGTTCATGCCAATCAACACAGTACATTAGTTTTATAAATATCAACTTTCATTTTGTGGGTTGACAAATGTAAACATCCTATCCAATAAAAGTGAAACATGGTAATTAGCCGTACGTCCGCTACCCTTCCCATTGGCTAATCAGGGTGATATGCAAATTAATTGCCAGCCAAGATGGCGGACGGCAGCCAGGCAGCTTGAAGCGAACATGAGGCTTGCTTGCTTCAGTGACTGAGGACTCCAATGTTCCCCG